CTGCTAGGCCACCCCACCAGGCTGGGCACAGATGGCTGAGGGTCCTACCTCCCAGGAGTCCTGAAGCCTCTTATAAGTCACCTCAAACTGGATGTCCTCCTGTGCCAGCCAGGGGACCGGGGCATCCCCAAGGGTCACACTCCACTTCAGCAGGAAGTGGTCCCCCGAGGGGCTGATGTGGAGGTCCTTGGGGGGCGGGGGCTGCACTGCAGGGGAGGAAGCAGAGGGTCTGTGAGAGTTGCATACTGGGAGACCTGAGGGCAGCCTGGCCTTTGGGTGCCCCTTGGACCCAGGTTCAGTGCTGCCCCCATCAGCTGATGATCAGGACAAAGAGCCTCAGGACCCTTCCTCTGACTTCAGGCCTGGAACTGAACCTGGGGACCAGACTTGACAGCAATCCTGCCTTCCAGGGCCTGAATCTCAAGGACATGGGGCTCCTCCTGCTGGGCTGGGCACTGGGGCCTTCCTTCCAGCAGAGGGCGCTGTGGCCTCCCCTGCTCCCTCTCCTGACACCCACCCTCTACACAGCCCTTGGTGCCTACTGTTGTCATTGCTCAGTGTGTCCTCTCCCCTGGTGACATCTGGGACTCCTGGCCCCAGACAGAACCCCTTGTCCCTCTTCTTGTCTCACCACGGATCATTGTAACTCCTCTCCCTGCCTGTCCCACCAGGGTAAGTTTACCTCATTCCTGCCCCCTTCCCTGTATCAAGGCTTGAGATGCAGCTGCCTGTATTTCATGCTCTCCCTGCCATTGTCCAGACTTTTCACCCTGAGGCTTCTTGGATACAATGAATGTGGCCGGGTTTTCCAGCATGTCACACTCTCTCCAGCCCCGCCCTGGTAATCAGCCTTTGCACATGTGGTTTCCAGGCCTCGAATTGCTTTGGACTCTGTGCTCCTTCCACACCAAGGACTCAGCCACAGAGCTCCTCTGCTCCTCCTGGGAAGTCCTTCCTGATGGCCAGAGCCCTTTGCCTTGCAGGCCCTGCATGTGGCCGCTGGCTCCTGTGTGTCTCCAACCCTTTGCCTGAAGCCTGATCCCCCAGGAGGAGGGGCTCTCTCAGACCCCACACCACTCACTTGACCACACCACTCAAGCCAGCAGGGTTGAAGGGCAAACAGGACCCGCTAAGAGCCTGACAGATGTTTGGAGTTCAATGCAAACCTCACTTTCTCCTTTAGTCTGAAATGCTGGGGACCAGTCTGCTGCAGTCCCCACACAAACCTCCCGGATGATCATGGTCCCCTAAGACCATGCTGTAGCCATGGGTGCTGGGGACCGCTGCTCACCCTTGGGGACAGAGAGTGTGAGAGTCCGGCTCTGCGTCAGAAGCATGGAAGGGCATGGCAACGTGACCTATCATGGCCATCCCTGATCCATGGTCTTCCTTTGGGATTTCTGTGGGTCTTGTCAGTCATAGGAGAAGGTGTTACAGTCATGAGGCAGGACAAGTAAGACAGCATTCCCTGACCTGCAGAGTCCTACAGAGTCACAGGCATGGCTCCTCCTAGAGGACAGCTTGGGGACTTGGGAGTTGGCAGAAGCCAGTGGGACAGGGGGACCCTCAGGCAGAGGCCTCATCTCACATCTGTTCTAGCCCCAGGGCATGGCCCCTAAATCCCGGAGACACTCACTCTAGCCCACCTCCGGTAGCTACACACTCTTGTACCCACTGCCCAGGCAGGACCCACGCTCCTCACCATGCTGGGCCAGTGGAAGCACGAGCTGGATGCCCACGTCCCGATTCGGCTGGAATGAGTAGTAGTCTTCATCAGTGATCATGAACTGTGTGTAGGGGATGAAACATCTTCGGGGCACACAACGGTGGAGGGACGGGCACTCTGACCACAGTAGGTCTTCACTGAGGTCACAGGACACTGGATAGTTCCTGTCAGTGAACATTCATTAGCTCCTACTACATGCCTGATTTTATCCAGGGTCAATGTCGGGCAGTGAACAACACACACACATACAAGCATATACACACAGAGACACACATACACAACACAGATACACACAGACATATACACATGCACAGATGCACATACATGCACAGAGACAGACATTACACAAATACACACAGCTGTACAGACACACACATACATACACAACACAGACACACACAGAGACATACACAGAGACACACATGCACACATACCTGCCCATGCAGTGAGCACCCTGATGGGAACAGGCACACATTTAACCACCAAGTAACATATGTTTTATGAGAAATGTTGTATATGATTAAAAAAAAAAAAGGCCAGGGTGAGGAGCCTAGATTTGGCTGTCAACACATGAACTCACTGCATGTGTCATATGGACAGAATCCCCAGTGACTTGGGGAAAAGCAGGCAGGTTCTGCATCGGGCTGACTGCAGCAAGTGCAGAGTCCCTGGGGCTGCCACCAGGGCTGTAACCAGAATTCACCGAGAGGAGTGTGTGTGCAGTCTAGGTTAATGACCTGGTTCAGGCAATGCTCACTGAAACCTGAGTACAACTCAGGGGGAGCCCGAAAAGCCCCTGGCATCAAAAGGCTTTTAGTTGACTTTGAAAATGGCTATTTTGGGGTGCCACAGGGCAGAGCAGTTTGTTATCCTTGGTCTACCATGAGCTTAGCTCTAGACAGGACCTCCAACCAATGCCATAAAAACAGGTCAAGATCATTCCCTAGCTGAAGTTCTGCTGTCTTCCCCTTTCTGTATCTTCAACTGCAAGGTTAACAATCCCTGAGAAAATAAAGAGACAAGCTCATAAATCTCAGGAGAAAATGTGTGGATTAGTAGCAAGAAATCTAGCACAGTCTTTGTATCTAGTGTAAACATTCAAATGAAGGATTTGTTTTCTAGAAGTCCATAGACCTTGAAGAAGTAGAGATCAGTGATGGTTGTCTGTTGTGTAGAGAGCTGTTTTTCTGAAGGAGCTTTACAGCCTTCACGTGACTTCAGTCACAAGACTGTCCTGGCATACCTGGATGTCTTGCATTATTAAATACTGCAAAAAGTGCACATTAGGACTAAAACTGCAGGGGAGTGATGTTTTCTTTCATGAAACATAGATTAGATCGGGACTTTGTTATCAGGGCTTGTTTTAACCATAAACAACGTTTGTGTAACAATCAATAAGCATGCTTCTGCACTGCTGTTAGGGGTTCAGACCTTCAGAGAAAGGTCCTCCCTGTTGCCTCGGAGCCTGATTACAAAGACAAAAACAAAACAAAACAAAAGCCAACAAAACAACAACAACATTACATATTAACAAATAATATCTCTCTAGATGTGCAGTGCCCAGGACATCCATGACTCATATAATTGCAGCACGTGTATCTGAAACCCCGATCACACTGAAACTCATGACCACTTGGTAACTGCCTCAAAGCCCACCTGAGACCAAAGGGACCCTCTCCCCAAGTCCCTCCAGAAGTCCTACACTTTGACACCAACACACAGTGGTCTCTGCCAACTCTGTCCCTGGAATCTTGTTTGGTTTGTACACTTGGCAATCAGTCTTTCCCTGGCCCTAACCACTTGTCCCTGAGTGTTGGCTTTCCTGCCGCAAGCAAAACAGTCCTGAGTCCTGTCACAAGGAACGAGGCTTTCATTGTGTGTGTGTTAATAACAAACATGTCGGGACATAAGTGAAGGAAAGGGGGGACTTGTTTTGGTGCAGGATTCAAAGGATTTCACTGAGTAAGGGGCCGAGGAAAGACTTGGGGTGATGGATTGAGGAGATGGTGCCATCCTGGTGACTGTAAGTAGTCTGGATGGTGATGGTGTCTGCATTACTCAGACTGCATCTCACTGGGGGACAAACATAATAGTGTTCTCTGAGAGGCAGGAAAGGAGGTAGAAGCCATTTTCAACCAGCCCTCCCGGTCATGAGTCAAGCTACCATTCTTCCCAGTTAACAAAGAGAGGCGTGGAGTCGGAGTCAAGGGTAGAATTTGGCTTATGGTGTTGGACTAGAAATAGATATCCTCATCTGAGCATCTCTGCTCATGGCCCATGGTGGGCTCTCCAAAGACTGCATATAGATATGAAGCCAGGGCCTTATTTACAGATCTCACACTCTGCAGTGGACAGAGGAGAAAAGGGAAGCAAAGACCAGAAGGAGCTGTCAGAGACACCAAAGGACCTTGGTGAGTGTGGCGGCTGGGAGTCACATGAAGGTGAACTACAAGGAGGTCATCCTGGGTGGGTTGGTAGATGACGACCCAGGCTGGGCCATTTGACTTGGGGTATTTCTGAGTGACAGGTGCAGTTTGGTTCCCTTGGAGATAGCCAAATCCTGGGGGAGTGCATCCAGGCAAGAAATCCTGGGAAGATGTGAGGGAGTGTGGGCTCCTGAGAGGAGGCTGTGTAAGGAGCAGAGGAGTAGGGACAGGATGCTCAGGGCAGGAGACTGCTGCGGCCACTGCAGGGGCTGGGGGGCAGTGCAGCACAGAGGAAGGTGACCAGGGATGGTGGCTGCACATCATTGGTGATGCCGGGGTGGAGGGGAATGGTGGAGCATGGTCCTTGTGTTGTAATCCCAGTGGACTCAGTGGTACTCACTTTTCTAGCTTGCGATAGAGGGTCACGTTCATGAGGCCCTGGGCGTCCTCCATGTCGGCCCAGCTGCAGATGATGCGGCTGGTGTAGTCATTGTAGCATTGCAGAGTCTGCAGAGGGACGGTCTCT